CTTGTATAAGCCAAGGGCAGGAAGGCAGTCCAGTTCTGTGGGAGGGGTCTGTGGAACTTAGAAGGTCTGCTCAGTCAGCAGTTCTCACTCTAAGAACCCGGAAGACGCTTGGGACAGGTGAGAGGTGCTCTGCAAGGTGAAAACTATTTTTATAACAGTACTCAAACATTACTCACCTATTGCATTCCCATTCTCTCACAAGTGGATAGTGGAGTTTTTCAGAGGCAAAATGATGTGTGTTGATGTGAATGAAATGTGTCCATTTGGAAGATCTGCATACCTCAGTGAACTGGTCTAATTTTCCAGGTGATCCGTGCCTGCTGTGACAAAATCCTGCATGGTAAAAAGTCTGTCCTAAGTGCAAGATAAACCAATGAATTTTAATATAAAAGATTATAAAGAGTCCATTGATATGTTTGAGATTCCAAATTGCCCTATCCTTTAAGAAACTACCACTTGTCAAGTATTGGTATAATATGAAATAATTTCCACAATTAGCTCGAAATGAAGGCCCCATTTTTTCCCTGTACTTCAAATAACATATCGTAGCAAATTGAATTTAGAGACACATTTGAGAATTATATTGTTTTCTGTTAAGCCAGACATGAAAGACATTTGCAGAAATGTAAATTAGTATCATTCTTCTCACTAACTTTTCTGTTTGAAGAATGTTGTCATTTTTCCATAAAGATATGCCATTTTTTGTAACATGCAGTGGACATAATTATTATGTATACTAAATAAATTATTATAAATATAAATGGGCCAAAATGCATACTCTCTTCCCTCTTAGAGATTTGCAATACATACATCAACAGCCCTCAAAAGTGTTTCCCAAATTTATTTCAACCTTTTAAATCCTCTTTTTATCTTTGGCATAATTTAATGCTCCACAGTGGACTACAGCATCCCATGGAACACACTGGCTAATATATGATATATGTTACTCTCTCCCTGTTTTTCAAAAATAAAAAGCAAGATTTCACAGGTACTTTTCTTCAAATCCATGCTTTATTAAGAGGATGGCCCACAAAAGTTTACCAGCTAACCTAACTCTCTTTTTAAAAAGAAACCACTCATATTTCATCCTATTATACTATTTTGCTTATAGTCTTCAAAGCTGTTTCTACTTATGTTTCCAAACTCATATGTTTTAAAAACCCTGTTTTGGATATTTCTGTGTGTTAATTAGTAGCATCTGCTCCTGTGTCATAAAACAAAGTGATCCCGTCCCACACTGATTGCCCAAATTGCAGGTTAAGTCCTGGCAGCCTAGCGGTGGAGCTATTACTACTGTTTGGTATTTTTAAATGGCAAAAAAATACCGTTCATGATGCATCTCATGGTTTTATAAAACACAGTCGCTTTTTGTAACAGAAGGATTTACAAATGGCAGTGGATTTTGTTGTATTTTAATGATATTATCTTTCCAGTCCTTTGGTTTCCATTGGTTGTGGGCACAATGCTAACAGTAAAAGCAGTGGTATTCCACAGAATGAAGAGCATGCTCCTGACTGCTACATGCTGGGCTTTCCCCGCCTACAAAACAGGGTGATAAAACAACCAGCAAGTTCCTTTCTGACAACTATGCCATTCTAAATCTGTCTCGAGGTAGAAGTGAGGAGATCATTTCTTTCGCTTTCTGTGCTACATGTGTCTGTCAGGCAAAGAGTGGGAAAGTCTTGATTTGTTATAAGAATTAAAGGGACAATAGCCATCGTACGGTGTATAGTTCAAGAGCTTTTTTTTATGTTTTGGCCTTGCCAGTTCCTCCTTAAAAACTTAATATTGTTTAAATCCTTAGTGACTTTCTATTGCAACTTTGCTGCTGCTTCTGCTTATAACTGTTCAGAAAATTATCACAGAAATGCTTATAAAATTTCCCCTTATCACTTAAAAAATTCAAGGAGAAATTTCTGTGGCTGTCTTCTTCAATATCTTGTTTTTTAAAAACCACTGAGTAATTTTAGGGAGAACTCTTTACATGTGCCAAAGGACACTCAGTCTTGTAGGAATACCTATTGGAGCATTTGCAGACTGCACTGGAGATTCTCTCAGAGCTAAATTAGCCAGGTTAACCAGCCTGAAATTAAAGAACCAGGCGTTTACTCTTCACACAGCAAGAGACCACCTTCCCATCTTTTTTTAAAAATATATTTTTTATTGATTTCAGAGAGGAAGGGAGTGGGAGAGAGCAATAGAAACACAATGATGAGAGAGAATCATTGATTGGCTGTCTCCTGCACGCCCCACGCTGGGGATCGAGCCCACAACCCAGGCATGTGCCCTTGACCCAGAATCGAACTGTGACCTCCTGGTTCATAGGTCGACGCTCAACCACTGAGCCATGCCGGCCAGCCTCCTTTCCAACTTTTTTGACAGCTGAGTATAGATTGTGGTATATTTGGGAAATCAAAAATAGAAGAATTGTAGAGCTCTGTGGTAGGTTAAGAAGTAGGAAGAAGATGCACATGGACCATTGTTTGGATAAACTAGTGAAGGGAGCACTTTCTGCAGCGAAAGCTTGTTTATACAGCGACTCTCAGTGTTCAGGCGTATCTGTGATGCTCAGGCCCCCGATTACATTTCTTTTCTCCTTTCTAGACGTTTGGTCTTATCTCTATTTATAACTTCACCTGGCAAACAGGAATGGCAGGGCAAAGGAGAGGAAAGGCAAGCAGTTTGTTTGGTTGGTGATTAGCAGACTACTGAAAAGTTTGCTGAAGAAGGGAAGTGTATTGAACCTCTGCTTAAAATGAGGTGTGCAGAGTTTTTAGTGGTTTTCTTTGGATAAAAATCGTCTCATTCTTGTGGGACGATGTGTAATTGAGGGTCAGCTATAAATCACAAAATAAATCACTTCCAACTCCTTCACCTCGACAGGGATAAGAATGGAAAATCTTGTCATTGAGACGGTCCTTTTTTTCCCCTTTCTCCTCTACAAATAGTATAAGCCTCTGGGCATCAGACTTTGGCAGCCAGTGGAGGGCCCTGAGCTAATAATGGAGCTGTTCTGCTTCTCCAAGTTAGATTTTGCTCTACTTGGTGACAAGAATATAATCCCAAAATGAATTTCTTTCTTCAGGGCAAAAACAAAACAGAAAAAGAGAGAGAGAGAGAGAGTGTTTTCGATACCATGAAAAAGTGTTGTGCTTCTGGTAAACTTTTCAAACCAACACCACATTCCATTCTGTTCAACAACATTATGTCCAGTAAGAATCAATGGGCATGACCGATTAAACCCAGAGGCTAGTCAAGGCACAAATTAACTTGCTGTGTGACTTTAAGAGGTCCATCAACCTCTCTGGGCCAGCAGCTTTATTTGCAGAAGAATTTTGAACTAGATGACAAAGACCCATCCTTAGAATACCAAGATACAGACCTGGTAACATATAAGAGAAAGGCAACAATTTATTTTTAGTAAGACAAGATTGATACCAGCCAGTAACTGGCAGTGGGCTTGCTTTAAATCCTCCTCTTCTCTCCAAATTCTGTTTTTACCAAAACTGTAACTAAAGACAGTTTTTCATGCTTTGAACTTCCTGGCTTATGTTGATTCGTATCAATATGTTACTTTTACACTTTTGAGTGGTAGCTGATTACATTTCATGAAAAGTGCTCAGAAAAGGAATACAATCGTTACAACCCCACATTCAGTGAGAATTGATAGAATCGAGACAAGAAAAAAAAGACTGTCCTTGTCAGGCAGTCACTCCTCCAGCTAGACTGAAAATATAATGGTCTTATTCTCCACTCACTTGTTTAAACATTAACCAAGAGCAGCTTTCTCCTCCTCCTCCAAAGTTTTAAGTGTCTCCATGAACTTAACCACAGTTATATACAACCCCCCAAAGTCCTTTTCAAACATGTCGCGTATTCTGTAAAGCAGTAGCTTCAGCAGTCTTTCAAGGAACTGATTTTGCATACAGCAGCCTAGAGAGGCATAAAAGTATACCAGCTCTACAGCTAGGTTGTTTGATGGTGAGGTCTTGGTGATTGCCTAGGGACCTCTGGAAATGCATAGAGTGTAGACTTATGGTAGGAAGCAATCAGGTAGTTAGAGAACTGGGGGACAGCCAATGGACTTTCAGAATAGCTGAGGAAGAGCTCACCAAAGGCTGAAAAAGGATGCAAACATCTTTTGAAGACCTTTTCCAAGAGCTCAAATGGGCATTGTCAAAAAACAAACAGTGGGGCGGATTTGACTAAGCATCTGGAGCTAGAACAATGCCCTGTGACAAGTGAGCGTTTTTAAAACTCTCAGGCAGAAGCGAACTTTTCAGAGCGACCTTGTCACACACAGTTCGAAGGCGTAGGCTTTGCCAGCTGCTCTGAGTGGGGTGAAGAGGCATGCATATTTTAACCGTTCATTTCATATTCAGTGTGTGAAGTAAATGCTGCTTTCCAACTTGGGTGGAGAAGGTCTTTATCAAGATTTATCAGGAGTCAGAACGAAAACACTAATTTCTTGTTTGCAATGGAACATTTCTTCTCTCTTATACTTTATTTGTTTTGTTCAATCCCATTAGCCCTTTATTTACAAATATTCATAGTAGTTCACTCAGTCTGAGTCTAATGGGCAGAATCAGGTGGATTTTAATTTGAAACAAAACTCTCTCCACTTTCTACTCTTGAGAAACTGCATTTCAGTATCTTTAATTATTTAAACATAAGGAATCCTTCTTTGTTCACTTATTTCAATTAGTAAACTTGAAATTTGCAGACACATTCCCACTGGTGTATATTATAATTTTCAGTACCTACCCAGAGAGTGGGAGTCTGCTTTGTTTCTTCTTTTCTGCACCCCGCCCCCCCATCCAGTATTTTAGGTACCATATGTAGATCAGTTGCGCGATAGCTTCATTCTGGTAATTAATATGCTTGTTTGAGGTTATAAAATATACATATGACAAAAGCCAGGGATTTCCCCCTGAATGTCAACTGACTGCTTCAAGTGGCATTCTCATTCTGAGTCGGTGTTTTGTTTTGTCTTACTGCAGCATATTGGAGCAAAATGAGAGAGTTTATTTTGAGACCTCCGAATTAGTGCTGCTACGGACCATGAGCAAGAGAGAAAGTGTGGACTTCAGCCTGCACGAATGGTCTTGAAACACAAGTGGTTTTGGGTAAGTCATCCGAAAGACTTGGCCTTAAATTTCATCAGTCACCATTTATTTGGTGTCCCAGGACATCTTATTCAAGTGCATGGCTATTTCTCTACAGCCCAAGCCACAGGATGTTTGTGAAAGCTTTGTTCTATTGAAGGAAAGCGATGAAATTTACTTAGTTGTGTTTGTTTCTCCCATGTGCAGAATAATAGGATCTGAGTAAAATGCATTTGTCATTAGAAAAAGACCAGAGGGAGGGAGGGAGGGAGGGTGGGAGGGAGGGAGGGAGGGAGGGAGAGAGAGAGAGAACTTCAAACAACTAAACACACACACACACACACACCCACCAAACTACATTTCCAGATACTTCATTTTAGCTGAGAGCATAAGGCAGTGGTTCCCAATGTGGGGCACATGCCTCACGGGGTGGGGGGGGGAGTAATTTGATTTTTAAGGGGGGCAATTCGAGAATGAGTTATTAACAGTGAATTTTTTGCATTTCTTATGGTTCTAGGGGCCTCATATACAGTATATAAATATAAAAAAAATATATATATATAGTGACATATTTATGCATTTCAGTTCTCTATTATATGTTTTGAAACTTTATTTGCTATTTTTTCATATCATTTTTTAAAACAATTTCTTAGTGATTTCTTCTTCAATACTTCAACTGTCCTTTCGTTCTTTTATTTTTCTCTTTCATGGATGCCATGTTCTTTGGAAGCTTGTTTAGACCAAATTAATGGCCTTTTAGGTGTCCTCCACGTGAATAGGAGTTCACTTTTTGAATAATAAGAATTATATGTCACAGGGGGAGCATCAGGTCTTTAGAGATGCTTAGGTGGGGCATGGCCAAAAAAGGTTGGGAAGCACTGGCATAAGGTATTCATCATACAAGAGACCTCAGATTCAATTTGATAGCAAGTTTGTGACCCTGTAATGAAGTGTTGGGATGGGCAAAGATGAGAAGCATTGGGAGTTTCCAAGTCCTGTTCAACAAATGTTTATTGAGCACCTTGTAACTAAACACGGTACCCTGAATGACAGTCTTGGTTTGGAGTGAAGTTTAAACACTCCGAACTATAAATAAACAATTTTAAACCACATACCAAAATAATGTGGACTTCCAAGAAAGCTTTGTCAGCCTAGCTCATTGTATTTTTTGGAAACGGAGTCCCTAGGTGGAAGCCCAGTTCTGCCCACCAATTTTGGTGACCTCGGACAACTTACTCATCCTCTTGGAGTGAGTCACTTTAAAAACAGGAGGACATGCCTCCGGGATCACCACAGTCTTATGCAAATTTAAAATTCAACAGTCCCCCCTAGTGAAGTTAGTTAAATGATTATACTGCTTGATTGATATTTGCTCAACAGAATTTACTGTGTACCCCTAGTGCCGTGGTCGGCAAACCGCGGCTTGCGAGCCACATGCGGCTCTTTGGCCCCTTCAGTGTGGCTCTTCCACAAAATACCACATGCGGGTGTGCACGTACTGTGCGATTGAAACTTCTTGGCCCATGCGCAGAAGTCGGTATTTTGTGGAAGAGCCACACTGAAGGGGCCAAAGAGCCGCATGTGGCTCGAGAGCCGTGGTTTGCCAAGCCGCAGTTTGCCGACCACTGCTAGTGGGTCATCTCTGCAGAGGGGCTCTAAGATCAACTCATATGGAGGAAAGGGTCAGGGGCGGGGCCCCCCTGCCTTTGGCTCCGATCTTGTGAGCCAGCCCTTTGGTCAAGCAGGCCTTGCACGGTCTGTGGTTAATAATGTATTCCTTGCAGCACAGTGTTAAATGAATATAATATTTGAATACATGAGATAGGCTTGTGTTGAATGATTGTCCCTTTTGGTTGGGGATCTGTTTCCTTCTGTTTGCTCTCGCCGTGTTATGGGTCACCTGCCAGTCCTTGAACCCCGTAGAGCCCCAAACCTTGAGCCATAGAGCCCCAAACCTTGTTTTACATTGATGGCTCAGATGTCACTTGTTAGCAAGTGGCTGTCTGCCTCAGAGCGGTACATTATTTGGGTTTCATAACGGCATTTTTTTTCTCTTACATATGTTAAATTATGAAGTGCAGGAAACCACATGAATGCCACAGAATAAAAATGCAAACTGTGTCACCTGGAAATGCCAGTTTTATGATTCTCCTGGTAACACTGTCCTCCCTGCAATCAACATTGGAAGCTTCTCTACCTATTCAGCAGTGTCTTCTATCCCAGGCCAGCTTCATTTAGGCCGCAGTGTAGCCACCGTGGCAGGCTGAATCAGAAGGTTTGGTTAAGATGATTGCATGGGGCTGTCCCTTCCTCTCCCAAGTTCTGCCTGACCACTAAGCCCGACTCTCATTCACAAGGTCTTTCCTGAATGCTCACGGCTTCACTGCCCACCCTTCTTTGTGAACTCCTAGAACATTTAGAGCTCGCATTATAAAAGAATGTGTGGCTCTGCCTTGCTTTGGGGTGGTTGCCATCACTCCATCCGGTTGCAGACTGCTTGAGGGCAGGAGTCAGATCATAGCCCAGTGTTTCTCCAAAGCAGTCCAGCTCCAGGGCCTCCTGATAGAATCACCTGGCTGTGTGTATTAAAGTTGCAGATTCAGCAGCACCAAGCTTGAGGAGTCAGAATTGCTGGAGATATTGAGCCCAAGAAACTCACCGCAGATATCTCTCCTGCACACTGAGGTTTGCTAACGACTGAGTCTGCTTCTTCACCCTCTTCTTTGCCTTCTCACCCGCAGCATTGGGCCCAGGTCTCAGCTCATCGTGGCTGCCCAGGAAATATTTGCTTGTTGATCTGAGCATCATCAAACCATGATGGTTGCATTCACTCTTTCATGGCCTCGCCTTTCAGGATGTGGAGTCAGCATATTCTCTGAACCCTTAAAACCCCCAGTTTATCTAAATGTCTAGTGTTCCCCCCAGGTCCACGGCTCTTTTATGTCCCTTTCTCTTCAACCTCTGACCCTGGCTGTCCTTAGTAATAGTGTTACACCCTGCCTGCGGCGATACAGCAGGAAAAGCAGATCCAGGGAGTTCATCTGGAGTGAGGGGGTAGCAGAGACCTGAGGGTGATGGTGCTGTGGTACCCAGAAGCCTTATCCTTGGCTCCCAAAGCCACACTTGCTGCCCTTGGCAGGTTATTTTGAATGAGATTTCTTTCAGCTGTTAGGGCTTGCCACTGGTAAGTTTTGGTGGCCAGAGAGCAATCCCATTGCTGAAAGGGATAAAGTTAAGCTGCAGTGGACACACATCAAAGCGCCCACGGTGGCAGCGGCCGATTCAGGATTCAAATCGATGTTAGCAGACTGCGGGGGTGTCTCTTGGCCCCAGCAAGGGCAAGCCTGGCCTTGGATGATGCTAAATAGATTTGCAGGGTGTCCTTGCTCTGAATGCCCTTGCTGGTGGCTGCAGCCCTGGTAGTAGATATGACAGTTCAAGTGGAAAACCAAACAGAAGAACTCAGAAGCCCAGCCAGCCTATAAAGGAACAAGTGGGGTAATCTGGAAATTTATTAGCTGTTAAGGTAACCACAACCCAGTGCATTCAACCATTTTCTGCAACTTTTCTGGCCACTTCATAGTTTTCCTCAGAGAGGTCGTGCGGATCCTGAACTGAGTGTGTTAAAAGGCGCACTCATGCACAGACTGGAAAGCATCCTCTTCTGGGTCTGCACCGAGTTTTGACGATGGGAGGCAGCGGAAAGGTGTAACCGAGTGCATCTGGAACCGGCTTTTTCTCATGTTCTCAGCGAAGGGAAGGAAAAACAGCAGGTTCCCAAAGCAGTGTTAAAGGCAAAAGAGGCTTTTTAATATGTGCTTTATGGAGACCTGGCTAGATTTTCCTCTGCACCGCTTCCTCCAGCTGGGTGATGGGGAGAGGGCCGCTTTGGTGACGCAGGAGGCGGATGCACAGTCTTTCAGCTATGGAAGGAAGATATACAGTTGTTGATGTATGTGTCTTTGAGCCTTTGTTGGAGGCTTCCAGGTAGAGGAGTAACGAGGAACAAAATTAAAGAAGTGATAAAGCACATGATTTTAGCAGAATACCAGATGCTGGCTGGAATTGCTGTTTGGAGGCCTTTATCCACGCATGGGATATTTCCTTAGCAGTAGCCATCTGCGCTTGGCAAAGAGAAGAATTGGTTCTAAAAGAGCATTTGTCTGGTGAGAAACTATGTCACTTGTCCTGCTGACCATGACACCCCCTTGAGCACTGCAGGATTTCCAATGGTCACCTAAACCCGGGGAGCTGCTTTCACAAGGCAGATATAAGTAATTAAAGAGCCAGGCCTGTGTCTTCCCTGAAGACCATCATTAGAAAGCTCTTTAATGCTTTCCAGCTTAGGGGAGTCAGATACCCATCACGTACCTGAGCCTGCGTTCCGTAGAGCATACCCAGCATACGCCTTCTGTGAAATGTGCCATAACTCACTCTTCTTGCTGATGCTATCACGAGCTAATTGTATCAGTCCTTCAGAGGAGCCCTGTGGTTTGGTATAACTGTGAGTAAAACCACACCGGTTCAGGAAATGCTGTGCATTGTCTTATAAGAGGCATCATCAAAACAGATGTTGATTTACTTGGAAGATACCTTTCCTTGGTGACAGTTTGAGAGCTTTGAAGGGAGGTGTTTGATGTGCATCAAAATAAGTTAGAATTAAACTGCCACTCTGGCACACTGTTGGAGTGAAAACTGAAAGAAACTCGCCAGTGTTTGCTCCCGAACACGCTCTCCCCTAAGGCATCATCATGCCATGACATCATTGTCAACTCTGCTCTGCAGATGATCATGGCTCTCTCTTTCTCTTCTGAGTTAAAATTATTGGTTTCCAACTTCCTCCAAATGCCTTCAATTGGATGTCATATAGGTGCCTCCAACATGAGGCTACACTGTCCCTTTCCCGGTTCCTTGTTTAGAGAGACAAGATCAGCCAGTCATTGGTGCTGGACACCAACTTCTCCTCCTGTGTAGTTCATCCCTTGGCCACATGCTGTGGTTTTACCTGTTAAATATTCTAC